GATATTAAGAAGGCTTATCACCAGTTGGCTCTACAGGTACATCCAGACAAGAACCCAGAGAACAAGGAGGCGGCTGAGGAGAAATTCAAACAAGTAGCAAAGGCCTATGAAGTCTTGTCTGATGCCAAGAAACGAAACGACTATGACAAGTCCAGAGGAAACCACAGCAAAAAGGAAAATAGACAAGATGGCAAAGACAAAAAACATTCGGAGAAGGAATGGTGCTTTGAGAGGCCACACCGTGCCTTTCAGGATGTCTTAGAAGATGAAGACCTCTTCTCGGGAGATTATTTTTCCATCAGCCACATGGACAGGGCCAGGAGATTCTGCTACTCCATCTTTGATGTGACTCCCATCTTGGAAACAGGATTTTCCACTTTTGTGTCTCTGGGCTCCAGATCGAGTCCCCCTACCTCTGAGACATTTGTACCCTTTGTCAGCAGTGGAATGGGAAACTTCAGACTGGTCACCACTTGTAGCCAGATAGTGAATGGCAAGAGAGTTGTTACGAAGAAAGTGATAGAAGATGTGAGGGGGAAGACTGAACGGGAAAAAGAAAAACTATTTTGTCGGATTCCTCTACGTCATTGGTAAGGAGTTGCTGCTATGTTCTTTTAACAGGGAGACTTTCATATGAGGCTAGGGTGTCTTGACGCTTACCAAAGACAGAAGAATTGGAATCCAAGAGTGTGTTGAACTTGAATGGACAGAGGACAGCTTAGTCCAAAGCTCTCATTTCACAGAGAAGGGGGATCACGGGCCAGATGTTGGCACAAGAAACTACTAAGCAGCAGAGCAGAGCTTCCATCCCGAGTCTTCTCATTCTAAGTTGAGCCTTCTTCCCCTAACACATTATCTAGGACAGTAGAGACCACCACATATATGGCCATCTGAATCAGCTGAGAGCCCCTACCTTCATAAATCCCATTGACTTCCTTCCTGCCCTACCCTGCAGTTGCCAAGTTGCCTCTTTCCTGATGGCTACTCTTTTTCTCTTCCTAGCCTCTTTCTCTTTGATGCTTCTCTTCCCACCTTATATTCTTTCTTCCTATACATGTCCCATGGACCATATCACAATTAAGGTCAGTTCAAAGAGTTGCCTCGGTATAGATTAATGCTAGCAGGGAGAAAGAGTGAAAAGTAAATTGGTTAAAATCTTTATATGCTTTTTTATTTATTTTGTTATTTTTTTTTAATTATTAGTTTTTAGAGATAGGGTCTTGCTATGTTGCCCAGGCTGGTCTTGAACTCCTGGGCTCAAGCAGTCCTCTTGCCTCAGCCTCCCAAGTAGCCTGGACTGTAAGTGCGTGCTACCACACCCAGGTTTGATATGCTTTTCAAAATAGCTAGCAGTTACTGAGTGCTCAGTAGATATCAGGAATTCTATGTCAATAATCTTTTCAGCAGTGAAATGCAGTACCTACTTTTCCCCCTCATATAGATAAGAAAATGAAGCTTAGAAAGATTGAGTAACATGCCCCAGGCCCCATCTAATAAACCATAAAATAGCGTCTTAGTCTAAAGCACATGCTTATCTACTGAGCTATAACATCTATGGATCCTACTCACTTGTTTTTAAATCTAGGGTCTTGCTCTCCTTGGAAATGTAAACCTATCATCACTGAACCTTACTTCAATGTTTGAGTACTTGCTGGAACTTATTATGTATGCAAACATTTTGAATTTTATTGCCCAAAAGGAATTTGAAGGTTACATTTACATGAAGACTGAATCAATGTAAAAAGTTTCACTGAAGCTAACAAATGATTATCTGTTAACACAGAATCTCCAAGATGTGAATTATCTTTTTGTTTTGGCTTTAATCTTGATGTATATGCAAAATCTTGAGTTTTGTTTTGTTTGTTTACCTGGAGCTGGTCACAGTCCAGCCCCTTCATTTATATTAATAAACAGACTGGGATCCAAAGGAGCTGTTCCTTATGGAAATTTACTGGTAGAGTCTGCATTAGAACCTCTGTCTGTCAGTTTCTCCTCCCAAGTTCATTCTGGTACACCATGCTGATGGGCAAAATTTGGATTTCATTTGCATCGCAAACATAGAAGTTATATAACCAATTATTAGCTTTCTTAATCAAGGAACTTTCCTGTGTATGCAATTTTTATGAGACAAACGTTTTTTGTAGTCTTTGAACTTTTTAGTCTCAGTAAATTTTCTGAACTTGAACAAGAATATGCCTGCATCCCTCTGGCAAAGGGTAACACACTTGCAGAAAGGAAGCAGAAGGTGGATTTGGAATCAGAACACATCCCGTTTCTTTCAAAGCCTATACATTTCCACTTAAGTAGTCACTGAGAACCTCCTACATGCCAGGCACGGTGCTAGGTGCCTTTCATCAATCATTTCTAATCTTCGAAGACCTCCAGGGGTTTATTTCCATTTCACAAGTGAGGAAGCTGAGGCTCAGGGAGATTAAGTCCCTTACCCAGGGTCACACAGTGAGCTGTGGATCCAGACCACTTGCCAGACCTGAAGCTTGGTTTCCGTGACACTGTGCCCACCCTCAGCATTTGAGCTGCTCTAGTTGTGATTTAAGAGGAAAGTTTTGTTGTATGGATGTATATTCATTTCAACATTTCTAAAATGAGGATTTCCAGATGGAGCTTTCTTTTACTAACCCTGGTTCGAGGTGAACTGCAGTATGTCTACTGAACAAAGGGAAAATCAAATCACAGCATGAAACGTGATTTTTCCATTTTGTCTTAAGTAAAATCCAAATTTCAGCATTTTTCACAGACACACTTGGCTTTTGACAGAAATGCTGAGTTGTAGAAGGACTTTTTTGCCAGCAAAGGTTTTTTTAAAATTCACTTTGAGTTAGTCTAGGAAGTTTTCTCCTATAGAAATGAAAGCAGTGTTCTCTCTTTCTGATGCCTGTTTAAACTATGCAGCAAGTTAGGTGTGAGCAAACAGCAGCAGAGGAAAGAGGGAGAGCAGGAGGGGCTTCGCCATTTGGTAAAGCTGCCAGTCCGCCAGTCCATATTCCTCTCCCTGTGCAAAGCAGAGCCTGAGCCCCGAGGAGACCGATATTCACACTCCTGTGATAGTGCAGTGAATGTCGTCAGCACCGCCAGCTGATTTCCAGGTGCCAGAAGCTCCTCTGCCCACTCTCAAACTTACAGGTTTTACTACAATCTTTAGGATTACTCGTTGCCTAAATAGAAAAAAACAAAACAAAACCAAAAAAACCCCACAACTTCAGGATTAGAGAATCAATTCCTGGGTCCTTAAGTAATTTTCTGCTCTTGCCCTATCAACCAACTGCTTCTTTATGTATTACGGTTTTGAATAGTGATCTCTCACAAATTAATGTGAGACAGTTCTTCCAGTAGCTGACAAAATAAAGGTTTCCAAAACTCAAAAACACAGTGGAGCAGTTAGAAGTAATTCCTTGTGCTGCTCTGCTGCATGTTAGGCGGTTGACAAGTGAAATGAGGACTATGGTCCTGTCGAGAATGATGGAAGGGATGATGACAATTGATTGAATAACTCATAGCTCAGGGAGCATTTGCAAGAGCGGTTTCTCATGGAATTCCATTAGAGACCCCATCAAGCAAGGAGAGAGAGGAGCAAGATTCTCGCCTGAGGTCACAAAATGGGTGTTTCTTCAGCCCCTAGCCTGGTGCTGTTTCATCTACACTCTCAGGCATGCAGAGCACTTTCTCCTCACAACCTGGCAAGGATCATGAGAGAGTTTGGAGGAACAGCCCCTGGGGGATGGTGTAGGAGGCAGCCACAGTTTTATGTAGTTGTTGTTACACACTGTGTCCCCTAGACTGTTGGTCAGTGGGGGACATAGGGTGGGGGATGAGTAGGTACAGAAGTGAGCAAGATCATGAACAGAAATGTTAAGATTCTCCAGCCATGCATAGCTGGTCCATCCCTTGAACCCAAGTCTCCTAAGAAACAGCTCAGATTCTTAAAAGACATAAGGTTCCCACAATAAACAATAACAAAAATAAGGTGGCATTCGACATTCTTCTCAGGGCTTTCTTTCCAAAAGTTTCGAGCCACTGTACCTATTTGGGGTCCTCATCTGTTTTGTTGAAGCCCATTTTATTTTAGCCCAAATCTTTGAAATCTCCAAAATACCTGGAGTGAAGTATACCTGATTTTGTGCCTGAAGCGGGTGGGGAATGGATTCTGAGCAGAACAGGAAAGGGATTTGCAGCTGGAAGGGCCCTAGTCCTCACCTCCTTATTTGGAATTTTGAGGATCCATTGAGAGTGAGTGTAGTAGAGGCCGTCAACATGGATGGAGAGGTTGACTTTCAGGTTGAGGCAGGATGGTTCTCCTTTTAAAGGGCAGGAAAGAATCTCCCAGAGAGGGTGAGTCATTTTTCTAATGCCATCATTATGATAGACAAGACTCCAGGAAACTTAAGACTCTAGTCCCCATTGGACCATCTAAAAAACATATTTAAATGTCAAGAGAAGCACAAGGGGATTATAAGAGAACACAGGCTTTGGCTGTAGATAGATGAAAATTCAAATCCTATGCTCACTTTCCTAACTTCTTGATCTTAGGTTAACTTCTTGCTTGATCCTTGGTTTGCCTGTAAACTAAAGATGATAATTTCTGCCTGTTCTAATTTATAGAGTTGTTTTAGAAACTAAGTACACTGAAAATTCTGCATAAATGTTAATATACTTTATACATGGAAAGAGTCATTATTCCTTTCAGAAGCAACATCTTTGATCCTTAAGGGTACGTGCCTTAAGCTTGCCATCAGTTTTTTAAGATGTGATGTTTATGATAAGATTTTGAAAAGATCAGCTATGGATTGTGTTTAATCCCAAAATATTTAAGTAAAAGATGGAAGATAAAAATAGAATATTCCATTTTCTTCCATTTGGCACTACTAAAGTAATGTTTTTTGCTCGGGGACAATTAGTATGACTTTTGCCTTTGAACTTCCTTTTTTCTTCATTATCCTTAAGCTTTTGCTCACATGTTGGCTTTACCCTCTCTTCCATTACAGGAAATTGATGGGAAATCCCTGCTATTGATGACGAGAAATGATGTGTTGACAGGACTTCAGTTAAAATTGGGGCCTGCTCTGAAAATCTACGAGTATCATGTAAAACCTCTGCAGACAAAGCATTTAAAGAACAACTCTTCATAGTACAATCCACTTGGGGTCTTAGACCTCAAAAAATACATAACGACATAATTTGGTTTCATGTGATGAAACTTTGTAAACAGAATACATACATGTGTATATGTAAAGACTTTCAATCAAATGAAACGTTATCCTATTGGATAGACTAGGCAATTCATCGGCTGACCTGAATTCAGCCAGGAGGGGCAAGGACAAGATGTGCACAGGATGGTTTTTCTTTTGGAGGCTGTCAAACAGAATGTTCTTTGACGTGTTTAGGCCCTCCTCCCCACAAAGGCTTTGAAATCATAACAATTTTCTTTGTTTCTTCATAGATTTCTTTCCCAAAATCCTTAAAAAAAATAAAAAAGAATGTAATGAAATGAGTATCTTTTTGTTGAGGCTTAGGAAGAGTAAAAATAAGAAAACATGGGGAGGGGGAGAAAAGAGAAAGAGAATGCTTTCTCCCTTGAATTCCTCTGCTCCTTAGAGCTCGTGTTACTTGGATGGAATTGCCGACACCCTTTTTTATAGAGGGTCTTCCACTTGACCTTATTAAGGTTTTATTGGGATATGCTGCAATGTTTGACATGAACATGCACCATGGCCCCTTCAGGAGCAGAATCGTAGCTCTGAAAAGAGAAATTCTGTTGTGTACTGGGGATATCCATCCACATTCAGCTCGCTTTCACGAGGGGTAATGGTATTTCTGCATTGATTTGCTTTTAAATTGGTTCTTTGTTTCAGAAGAAAGCATTTTTTTTACTTTATGGTTTGTATTTATAATTGTTTCTGAAAAAATTTGCCAAGAGTTATAGATCAAAAAGCCTTGTTACTAGTACAGAATATTTTTATACATATTCCCTCATGATGGTGTAATATTTTTTTAATTGTCCTATGCTTTCTTTGATTCCTGGTCTGAGTACTTGTTTTTAAGAACTTGAGAAAGTGGGCTTGCTGCATCTCTGTTCAAAGAGACATTTGTTCAATCTCTATGTGTCTATGCCTTGTTGAATTGGTGCTTTGTGGTTGCAATAAAGCATTGCTTCAGTTTATACCCATTGTATCTTTGATCTTTTCTGCTGCTTCTTCAGTTAAAATTAAGGATTAAGGTCCCCTGGAAACCATGGAGAGAAAATTAAGTCTTTTAAAAATAACCAAAACTTTAGATGTAGAAATTACATAGATCTACATGTGGATTTACCTTCTTTATAAAGTGAATCATCCAAGTAGATCTCATTCCTTCTCTTACCCTCACCCAACAACCAATTTTAGGTATCATTTTAGCCAAAGGTTTTTCATTTGCTGTCAGCCAGTTGGGGGTCATGACTTTTTTTGAAATTCTAATGAAAGATGCTGACCTTCCCTCCAGACAAAAGCTCATCTTCCCACATACAAAACTTTGCAGAGAATTGATAGACTCTCTGAATTTCCCTCTGTTGCCTCTCAAGTTAAGAGTCCCTGTTTTACAGAGTGTCCCCTGTGGAGATAATTTCTGTAAAGAATAGATGGTATGAAGATGAGAGTGAAAAAACAGAAAATGGTATAGATAGTAGGTGGGGTTCAAAAACACATTCCAAATTAATTTAATTATACAGCTTATGGAGTATCTGAAACTTAAGTAATGCTTTGTAGTAGAGTGGTAATGATGCTTGACCCCTCTCTACCTCAGAGGGGCAGCGTGAGCTATGTCAGAGCCCTGCTTCTGTGCAGCCACCTCATACCTTCTGTATTAGTTTGGACTACTTTTGGCTGTGAGTGATGGTAACTGTCTTCCTGACCCCCACCAGGTAATATAAGCAAGATAGATGCCCACCTCCCTCCCATGTAAATTTCCAGATAGGGGGGCCAGGGGTGGTATGGCCCTCCATGATCTTAGGGGTACAGATTCCTCCTATCGTTTTGTTCCATCACGCATGACATCCATTCCCAGAATCATGTCATAGCCCAAAATGCTGCTTCAGCCTCCCCATTACCATTTGATCTCCAACCAGCAGGGAGAAGAAAAGAGGAAAGGAACAGACCTTCTTCCTCTAAGCACACTTCCAAGAAATTGTACATACCATACTTCCTTGTATATGTCACTGACCAGAATTCAGTCACATTGCCACACCTAAGCTGCAAGGGAGCTTGAAATATTTCCCTTTTTTTTTTCTTGGAAACCATGGGCCCAGCTGAAATTCAAAGTCCCTGTAGATAAGGGAGAAGGGATATTGAGGGACAACTTGTTCTTACCACTGTTAGCTGACCACTAAACACTCAGAGTAAATGACATTAAAAGTGTGTCTGTAGCTGTATTTTTCTCCAGATTTAAACTTGGGCTCAACTAAGTCAGCTAAACGTCAGACCTGGACTGTTCTATATACTTGATGGATAGTGAGGGAAGGGGGAAGAAAATAATTTAAAAGCAAACAGAAAAGTATAAAATCATCCCTCAGCCTCTGATGACAGCTTTCAGGCAAAATTGGCAAATTAAAGATAGTCTGTCTTCCTTACACCCAGAATAAAGGCCTATGACAGACAGGCCTGCACACCTTGGCAATAACTGAAGGTGCTTTCATCCCCCTCCCTGCAGGGAAAAAGCAGTGGGATCAAATTAGGCCACACAGAGAGGCTGGAAGTACTTGAAATTCAGTGGGTGGGTAGCCTTTGTCTCCAGACAGCTGTAAAAATGAGAGATGGCTGATTCCTTTTCACATCACACTAGATTTCTATTAGTATGATCTGGATCTGCAGCTAGTAGCAAATACATGCGTTGTGAGGGGAAGCACTTCGTGAATGTGAGAATGAGCATGGCCTGATGGCAATATATTTTATGACAGAGGTTTACATGAGAGCCTATTAATGTTGAATTTGATTCTTCTCAACCAGAGAGGCAGACAGGATATTAGACTCACAAGGAATTTAAGATGGTAATTGCCACTCCAACTTCCCTCCCCTCCCCACCCCACCCAACATACGAACCTCTGATTCAGACCCTGCAAAGGAGACTGAATGAATGGATTTAAAGGCGAGTTCACAAACTGTCCACTTTTCATTGGAATCTAAACCGACATGTTCTCCTTTGGCCAATGCAGTATGTGTGAGTTTTTAAAACATCGGCACATTTCTAGTGAGACTGAAAGCTCCAATTTGTCATAGTCTCTTCCATTCCCTAATGTCTTACACCAGCAACTTCACACTTCTACATTAACTGTCTGGACCCTGAAGGCCTTTGAGTTTTAGACACCCCGTGCCTCTACTGGTTCTAAAACAAAAAAACACACAGAGAGCCTCCTTAGAGTAAGTGAATTCAGGAAATGGAGATTGCAAGTAGATTCAGCTGAAAAGAAAACAAGCTGGCATATTGCATTGAAATGTGCAGCAGATTTGAGCATCATTTTTGATACTTAGTGGGCATGATGACTATGAAGAAAAAGAAGCCAATCAGTGACAGTCTCTTCATTCTGTCCTCAACAAATATCCTACGTGAATACAGGTTTTTGTCCCTGTGAGATTAGCATATGCTGTCAGGGGCATACACTGTCCTTCAATTGTATTAGTGAAATATATCTTTGGAGGAATTTAATTTGCAAAAGTCTAATGACCCACAGTTGCCCAGCCACCCCTGTATTTGGAAGCCAAATGCAAAAAGTACTTACTGGTGGTGATTTATCTGCCTTTGACGGTCCTTGTAAATGGGATCTGCAGGGGTCAGGTCTGGGCCCAGAGCCATTAGCGTTTTCTGGAATGATTTGGAGGATGAAGTTAAATGTTCAAAGAGCTGACTGCTGCAGCACAGATATACCTCTTAGGAGAAAACTTGTTAATTCTGCTTCTAAACCAGGAACAGAAGCCACAGGAAGGAGAGAGCGATCAATGGGTGCATTAATGAACAGCTTGTTAGTTTCACGCTGTAGCTCCATAGGCAATTAAGTAGTCTGGGTACCATTTCTGGCCAGTCATGACAGTACTATAGATGAGAAAGAGATTAAAAGGATTGCATCCAAGTTTATTCAGTGACTGTGGCTGTCTTATGTCTTAGAATCACTTGGAAGTGGTGAGCCTCAAAGAAGAGTTGCGTCTAGCCTAGCACTGGAGGAGAACAATGGAGGATCCTGTGAGTAAATCAAGAGAAATCTTTGGCTACCCACAAATAGGTAGCTAAGTTGATGTCTTTTCACCTCAGTTAGGTCAGGGTGTTCCTAATTGTCTTTAGGGAAAAATCAGGAAAGCTGAAGATGCCAGGCCATCTTCCAACAGAAAATGCACCTCTCTTCCACAACACAAGCACATGAACCAAAGTGCCACCTTTACCATAGCAGAGGTGGGAAAAGTTGATTGAGTAGGCTGGGCGCGGTGGCTCACGCCTGTAATCCTAGCTCTCTGGGAGGCCGAGGCGGGCGGATTCTTTGAGCTCAGGAGTTCGAAACCAGCCTGAGCAAGAGCGAGACCCCGTCTGTACTAAAAATAGAAAGAAATTAATTGGACAATTAAAAATATATAGAAAAAATTAGCCGGGCATGGTGGCCCATGCCTGTAGTCCCAGCTACTCGGGAGGCTGAGGCAGGAGGATTGCTTGAGCCCAGGAGTTTGAGGTTGCTGTGAGCTAGGCTGACGCCACGGCACTCTAGCCCGGGCAACACAGTGAGACTCTGTCTCAAAAAACAAACAAACAAAAAAAGTTGATTGAGTAAAGTTGTAAATAATGCTGAACATACTCACTACCTGAGGACGATGCGGTGGCCCAGGCAGCCAGATCTACAACCTACCAAATAAGGGGGAATGTGCCGCAAGACCGTTTGTGCTGCTGCCCAGGCACCACCCACCGGGCTCTTTGCTCACAAAGGTTAGAGGCCTTGAGCTTCCAGGAAAGTGAGGTAACGTACCCAAGGAAAGTTTTGCCACAAGGGCCTCCAGTTCTGTCATCTGTGGATAATCTATGGAAAAATTTCCCAAGTTAAATGTCTTCTTTCTGAATCGAAGGCAGCAGAAGCATTCAGAAAATTGTGTTTCATTTCCTTTTTCAATAGATTACATTATATTTTTATATGCTGGGAAATGTGTGATTTGAAAATAACACTGCAGAACTCATGAGATTATAGACATATTTTGAAGGAAAAGTCAGTAAAACTCTTCAAGCCGCCAGCAGCTCCTGCCTTCAGTAATTAGTGTTTGGGATAGTATTCTCTCTTCTGAGCCTGATTCAGTGACACTAGTCGAGTGGCATGGTAGGCAGTGGGTGAAGGCACCGAGGTTGCACCACGTAGACCTGAGCATGAAGCTAGCCCCACCATTTACGTGACAAGGGAACTTGGCTAAGTCATGTGGCTTCTCTTAGCCTCAGGTACTTCCTCTCTTCTCTAGTGCAGATACAGAGGCGGAACACAGCAGCACTCGCCCAGCACTGTCCAGTAGAAATGTAATGTGAGCCACGTACATAATTTAAAATTTTCGAGTAGTCACATTTTAAAAAGTAAAGAGAATCAGGAGCAATAATTTAAATAACATGATTTTAAAGCCAACATATACAAAATGTTATCGTTTTAATATATAATCAATGTAAAAAATTATCAGTGATATACTTAACACTCTTATTTTTCTCTTAGCCATTGAAATCCGGGGTGTATTTTAAACTTACAGCACATCTCAATTAGGACAGTGTAGCTCAAATGTATCATTCAGGATTAGTTTCAGTTGAAAACCCAAATTTACAATAACTTAAACAAAATGGAATTTCTCTACCACGTACAGGAGGTTTGAAGGTAAGCAGTTCTGGGTAGGTATGGCTGAAGCCCAGTCTTCTCCTGGTGTGTTGTCTCACCATCCTCAACACACAGCTTCCAACCTGGTCCAAGATGGCTGCTTGGGCTTCAGTTATCACAACTGCATTTCAGCCAAGGAGATGAAGAGGAAAGGAAGGGCACTTGTTATGGTTTTATTACTGTGATCTCACTCCACTTCGAGCCTAGTACAGTCACAGAATTAATAGATGTATGCTGATCCCAAATACTGTTCATCTGATGCATGCTAATATTGCTAAAAAACAAAATAAAATCATTTCCATAGGTCCTTG